TGAGTCTTCTCTCTCCACCATTTCTGCCCTCTAGTTACTCACCTGCTGCCTCTCCATGCTTGCTCCTTCAAGGCCACCATTCCCATTGGGAACTGGATTTCACACTCACCACCTCATGCCAAACCCTGAGGAAGTGATAGGTGTTGTGATATGGACTGAACCAGATGCCTTATGAAGGGGTAGCATACTGCACTTTGATCTACTTGGTCCCTGAACTATGAAAAGCTCAAGGCCAGTATAGGCAGTAGTTGGTTTCTGCTTTGGGCCCTGCCTGTGCCAACCCAAGTCTACAATCAGAAGACCATATTCATAAGGTTACTTGTTCTTATACTGGTAAGCACGCTCTTGCACATCCTTTGGGGGAGTTTTCTGGAACCACCCCGGTCATCCCACAGTCACATTGGTAAAGTCATCTTGTGTGTTCTTTCTCCTTAGACGGTGCCTTCATGCCATAGCACGAGACTCGGAAAAGTCTGTGTGACTGATGTGGACGGTACATTAATATATGTATCTCCTTAATATGACATGAAAACAATGGTCCTGGGATCATAATCATGCTATGCTGGCTTGGGTGTCCAACAGCGTGTCCTGATAGTGTTCCAGCACTAGCAGAACACATCTGTCACATCTCTTCTGTCCTCTGAGCACCACTAAGGTCCCAGGACAGACATTTTAATGTGCCCAATCTGAAAATAACAGAGAACCTTCTTCCACTCTGGGGTGAGAAGAGTACCCCAGAAGCCCATGCTTCCCAACCCACCGACAACAATTCTGGGAAAGTGCATTCCACCGGATTCTTTGCTGGCCTCAGCCCCTGGATCTGCTCAGACAAAACTGAGGAGGACTTCTCAGGTGACTCTGGCCAGCCTGGGAGGGAGATCTGGCCTCTCACATTGTGATCCCCCTAAGACAACTGTATCGTTCACCTGTACCCATCCACAGGAATTAAAAGCCACTGGTGAGTATCTCTCTGTCTCTGTCTCTGTGTCTCTCTTTCTCTCTCTCTGCCTCTCTTCTACCTCACCAACTTCCAGGCAGATCACGTGTTCTGTCTTAAACAGCACCCCCAGCAAATCACCAAACACTGAAGATTGCTATAAATAGGAAACCCAAAAGGCAAACATAAAATAAAAATCACAATTGATTGAAATATATACATGATATTAAAACCGACCAACCAAAAAATAACAGCATGAAACCTTGAATGACCCACCCTAGTAATAATAGTCTCACAGAAGCATGCTAAGGAAACACATTCCACCTACAACCAAAGAAGGACATTGGCTTTCATTCCCTGACAGGTGTATTAAGCTGTTATAAGCACTAGTCCATTTTATTTTCTGACATTTGGTTCTGTCTACTTTGGTACAAACTGTTTTCATCTGCTAGTTTGTTTCTTTCTCTGTTTGTCTGTCTGTTTGTCAGTTTGTTTGTTTGTTTGTTTGTTTGTTTGTTTGTTTGTTTGTTTTTGGAGACAGGGTTTTTCAGTGTAGATTTGGTGCAGGTCCTGGATCTCATTCTGTAGACCTGACTGGCCTTTAACTCCCAGAGTTCTGCCTGGCTCTACCTTCCGAGTTTGGGAATTAAAGGCTTGGACCACCACCGCCCAGCTCTGCTTGTTGATGAGTTTATACAGGGTATTGCCCTGCAACTCAGGGTGGACAGAATTCGGTAGAGAGTCCAGACTGACTTTAAATTCCTGGGGATCCTGCTGCCTCAGTGTCTCTTAGGTGCACTGGAATACTGTGAGCATTTGTGGTTTAGTCAAAGTCTATGTATCCCAGGCAGGCCACTCTGTAGCCATAGATGACCTTGAGCAGGATCCTCATCTCCTTGTCTCGAACTCCCCAAGGCAGAAATTCCAGTTTTGAGCCACTCTGCCCTGTTAAGTATGAAAATCTCAAGGCCTTAATAAGCAGGAGTGAGTTGCAGGCTGAGTGGAATCTCATCTCCAGGAGAATATAGAAGTTCTGCACATTTTGAACTATCAGATCTGGACAATGCCTGGGTAGATGGGGGAATGGCTAAAGCACCACAGAGAAAGGAAGGACTGTGTGCAAAGTGGATGTGGCCATGTCCTTATGTCATCTGAGGCCTGGAGCTGAAGAGAAGCAAGTGTGGGAGCTTGCTGGCCTGAGGTCAGTGAGACACACTGTCTCAAAATGGAGGTGAAATCCTGTGGTGGTGGAGCACCCATTAATCCCAGGACTGGAAGGCAGAAGCTGTCAGATCTCTGTGAGTTCAAGGACAGCTGGTCTAGAGAGCCAGCTCCAGGACAGCCAAGGAAACTCAGGGAAACCCAGTCTCATAAAACAAACAAATCCACTAAGGTGCAAAGCATTTGATGAATATTCCTGATCTACATGTTTGCTTAAAGGGTTAGAACAGACACACAGACAGGCACGGTTGCACCCGTA